ACCCCCCCATCCCCAATCCGTAGCTAAGTCAAACTCCTAAGGACAGTCTGTCTGGTAGATGTTGAGAGAGGAACCGAACGCCCAGAGCGCCAGCCCCAGGGCTGGGCCGGGCTGGGCCGGGCTGGGCCGGGCGGGCTCCAAGGCCTGCGCCCGGTCTCCCCAGGGCAGACGTTTATCACCAGGTACCTTACCCAGAAGGAGTGGGGTGATCCCAGATGCTTGCTCCCTAGTGGACTGAGCCGCCCTGCCCATCAGTGAGGGACAGGGCACTTTGGGGATGGCTGGTGTGGAGCTACTGGGCCTGGGGGCGAGGGCTCCCGAGGCCGCCAGCCTGTGGGGCCGTGGCCGCAGACAGCCCTGCGTGGTGGCTGTTCTCCGCAGACCTGCCACCCGGGCACAGGCCCTCTAGGTGGCTTCTGCCGCGTGAGTGTGAGCCCAGGGTGGGCGGGCACGGCTGGGCTGAGTGCCCTCCCCCCCCCCGCCCACCGGGCGCTGTGCCCTGATGCTACGGCTTACAACTCTGTGGCATGGGGGGGCAGATGCCAGGGGGGAGCTCAAGGCCTGTGGGCCTGCCTGCTTCAGGCCCCGGCTCCCCTGGCCCCCAAAAATGGAGCAGGAAGGTGAGCCTGATGTCACCTGTCAGCCCTAAAGAAGAGATAAAATCCAGCTCTGCGGCGGGCAGGCAGGCAGGCGCAGTGACGAGGGGCCTTGGCCCTCACAGTGACGACCAGAGGCCGGGGAAGGGGCGAGGATACCCAGGGTGGCAGGCGCCCGGAGCCGTCGGGGACGGCCTCAATCCGGGGAGTTCCCACTCCCTGGCGCCTGAAGGCCCTCGGACCCCGACTGGCCGGGCAGACACGCACACTCACCACAAGATGCAAAGACCACAAAGCTCAAACCTGGGGCCGTGGTTGGGGGCGGGGGGCGGGGGGAGGCAGGCCTGGGCGGGTGCCCTACTTGATGAGGGTTTTTAAGGAGCGGGTGAATGTGCTCATAACAGTCGCTGGAGTCGGGGAGCCCGGGGGGTGCCCCGAGGCCGCCCCGACAGCCGCCGCGGCGGCCGGCTGCTGCTGCTGCTGGTTAAGGTTCCGGGTGGTGGACTCCTCAGCGGCGCGCAGTAGGAAGGTGTAGTTCCTCACCACCTCTTCGACCTTGGCCAGCAGCTCTTGGCGCTGGGCCTCGGAGCGCACGATGAACACCAGCCGCACAAAGGTCTCGATGAGGCTGCTCAGCACCTGGAAGCTGCCCGTGATGGCCGCCAGCATGTGAGTCGGGCTCTTGTCCACGTTGGCCACGCGGCGGCAGGAAGCCCGGAGCTCCTTGAACTTGAGAGCCAGCTCGAGCTTGTACTCGGAGATCTGAGAGACGTAGGGCTTCGGGGCGCGGGCCTCGGGGCTGGCCACGCACTGGCGCAGGACCGTCAGCAGCTCATTGGTGTCCAGCCTGGCAGCCAGGAAGCCGTCGGGCAGGCCATAGGCATGGGCCCGCAGGGCATTGATCTTGGCCAGGCTCCCCTCGAAGGTGGACGCCCGCAGGTCGATCTCCTGGGTGCGGGAGGCCTCGGGGCTGCTGCTGCTGCAGGTGGCAGCATCCAGCACCTGCAGGGTCCTGCTCACCACGGGCACCACCTGCTCGTCCAGCTTCATGCCGGGCAGAATCTTCATGGGGATGGAGTAGGAGAGCTCGTCCTTGCTGTCGCTGGCGTCATCCGCCATGTCGCACTTGCGGTAGTAGAAGCAGTAGCGGATGGAGCAGCATCTGCCGCTCTCGCTGTCCTCGTCCAGATCAGCGGGCTTCCGGTACACCTCTTCTGGCAGCGAGAACACTGCCATCTGTCTGGGGCCTTTGGTCTCAGGGGCAACCTGGACGTATGAGGGCTCTCCCAGGGTCGGCGACTCCAGGGACTTGGTTTTGGGACCCAAGCCTAGGGGGAGGCCTGCCTCTACCTCCTTGGCCTCCCTGGGCAGCATGCCCAGGGGTGGGTGTGGGTAGATGTCTGAGGTCAGCGAGGCCCTGTCACCCTGGTCCAGTTCACTGATACTGTAGCGGCGCATCAGCTTCCGGTAGTTGGGAGCTCCCAGACACTCCCCCCCTGAGGCACACGTGGTCAGGCAGGAAACGCCGCTCTCGGGGTCCGATCGGCACTCCCGGGATTCCAGGCTAGTGGAGCGGAGGCGCCCTTCGTTGGTGGGGCTGCTGAGGCTCAGGCCCGCGCCGGCCTCCGGCTGCCTCTGGCTCGGGGGGACCCTGTCCCTCTCCTGGCCCCGGAGGCCGGGCACGGGCGTCTGGGGGGCCTGAGGCCGGCCCCCCCGGCAGATGCGCTTGCAGTCACAGCTGCGCCTCTGCTCCCGGGACATGCCCGGCCCCTGCTGCACCGGACTGCTACGAAGCTGGCAGCTGCAGCGGCCCGGCGCGGGGGGCTGCAGGTACTCGGTGCCCGGCAGCTCCCCCTGGCTCGGGGGCTTCAGAAGTTCCTCGAGGAACTCGAGCTCATACTGCTTTACCTTCTGCAGCTGGGCCTGCCGCTCATCGGTCTCCTTCTTCTGGCGGGTCGGGAAGGTGGCAGAGAATAAATTGCGTAGCCGGAAGGGTCCTCGGGAGGATTTGGGCTTCGCGGGGCCTTCGGAGGCCGAGTGCGCTCCGTCCAGGGTTGTCTCAAGCTTCCTGGAGGGCATGGTGCTCACCTGCCGGCTGGCAGCCTGGGGCCTCAGCGGGCTCTGGCCTCGAGGTTGGCAGCTGGGGCTCTGTAGAGCCATGGAGTAGCCGGCTCGGGGCACCAGGCTGGTCTCCTCGATCTTGCTGCTCTGGGGCATGCTCTCCAGCTGCCCCTTCTCCCCCTGGCCGGAGACGGCGCCCTGCTTGTGCAGGGAGGGCTTAGCCCCCTCTGGCCCGGCCTTGCCTGCCACCTCCCCCAGAGACGGCTTGCTCAGGGACTCCCGACTCGCTCGTGCAAGGTAGCTTTTAGGAGGGAAACTTGGCCCAGGCAGCCGGTCCTCTTGTGGGGAGAGGTGCAGGCTGTCGGCCCGGCTGCCTGTGGGCACTCTGGAGCCAGAGGAGACCTCTGGGCTCAGCGGCTGCTGGGAATTCCGTGAGGTCTCTGGAGCACCGGGGCTCATTTTGAACTTCAGATTCTTACTGGCACCGCCGCTCATCATGCTAACTTCTGATCTTCCCATGCTGACCTCAGGCCTCCCCATGCTGGCCTCCAGCCTTCTCTCCCCACTGCTGGGAGGGCTCACTATGGCCCCGCCAGGGGCAGGTAGGCTCTTAGGGTGAACCACCTGCTGGAGGGCAGCCGAGATGATCGCTGGGGTCACGCTGCCCTTCGGGTCCAGGATAAGCTTGGGGCTCAACCTGACTTCTTTGGGCAGGTTCTCCCTTAGCTCAGAGACCTGCTCTTCACTGAGGGATGGTGTGGCTGCCCTCAGGGACATCTCCAGGCCTGCCCTCGTGTGGCCAGGCCCTTTGTCCTCAGGAACTGGGGACAGCAGGCTCAGATTCTTCTGCTCACTAAGCTGTGGGGACAGTGCTGGGTGCACGGCCAGGGCGTGTGCTCTCTCTCGCTGTGGTGGCTGGGATTCTGACGGGGGCAGCTTCCTCCGAGCGCCAGGGGGGCCAGGACTCTGGCCTGTGACAGCTGGCTGCAGGGCCGGGTTGGGATCTGGGCGCCCAAGAGAGTAAGGGGCCGTGAGGACAGCCTGGGCCGCGCAGCTCTGGATCCGGAAGGGCAGGTCCTTGCGAGCCAGGAGGCTCTCCTTGTTGAGGTGCTGGGCCAGGAAGTAGGTGGTGTTCTGGTGCTGCTTCATGGCAGACATCATCTCTGACATGTCTGTGAGCTCCGAAGAGTTGGTTTCGTGGCCTGAGTCCAGCGATGATTCAGGGGTGATTGTGGCCAGCACAATCAGACCTGGAGGGACAGGGAGAGGGGCTTGCTGCACTTACTCCAATCAAGTCCTTTCGCCAGCCATATGTAGAAAGTTTATGGGGGCGGGGTGGGGGGAAGGCAAGGGCAGCCAGCAGTATTTGAAGCCAGGGAGAAAGCCCAGTCGGTCAGTCCTGGGACTGGCCAGGAGGAGGGGGCAGGCAGCGGGGAGGTAATGGGGCTGAAGGTGGGAGGAGGGAGGGGAGGAGCGGAGGGAGGCAAGCTGGCAGAGGGCTCCTGAAGGGCGGGAATCCGAAAAAGAAACAAAAGAGGCGCAGAGGAGATCTACTGGGCAGTTTGAAGGCAAATTAACATGCACAGCACATGCAGAACGACATGCTAATCATCACTATTTTTAGACTCAATAGCGAGGAAATGTTTGTCAATTGTCCTGAAGAGGCCTGGCAGGGAGAGGCCCCTGTCTATCTGGCCGGGCCTGCCTACAGCTGAGGCCCTTGTGCCTGAGCTTGTCCTCTCTCTGGCGACCACGGGGGGCCTCTCGCTAGCCAGGGAGCGGCTAGTGCTGGGCGCTCCAGACTCTGAGCAAAGAGAAATGCTGGCCCCGGGGGGCTAAACGCATGTGGGCTGCCCACCACCAAGGATGCCCTTGCGAACAGAAAAGGGAGGGGCTGGGACTCTCCCCGGTCAGCCAGGCTGCCTCTGACCCCGAGCTCTTCCTCTTCTCTGTCCACATGTCCCTCCTGCCTCACACGCTTTCTCATACACCTTCTTCCTGTTGCTTTTCTGTTGCCGTAGCGTTTACCCGTTCTTTTTAAGGTGTATGTGTATGGAGGTATGTGCCGGGAATAGGGCTGCAGCCTGACACGCGGGCTTGGCTACACGATGGGTGTACGTGTGTCTGTAACAGGGAACAGCATGCGCGTCGTATGGCCGTCCCACCAAATAATAACTACTACTAGCTACTACTTACGATCAATACTAATAGCTTTACTCCTGACTATGTGCTAGGCAGTGCTTTGCGCGAATGATCTTGTTTTGTGCTCACAGCAAGCCTCCGCGATATGACTATTGTTATCAGACCCATTGAAAATGACAAAAGTGAGGCTCAGAGAGGGTTAAGTGCCTTGCCGAAGGTCACACTGCAAGTGAGTGAAGAAGCCAGGATTTGGGTGCATCTGACTGGGAGCCCATGCTCTTAGGCAAGGTAAGGACCTCAGCCCTGAGCAGTGATGGCTCCTGGCTCCCCTGATCCCAGGTCACTAGGTGGTTAGTTGGTCGTTTTGTTTTTTCTTCCAGTCATGTGCATGCTGGAGGTTCTTTGCCTGTCTTCTAGATCTCTCACAATTTTACTCTGATCCTCCATCCTGGCCTGGCTCCGTGGCTATTCATGGCCCCAGTCCCTGGGGTCCAGCTGCAAGACATTTCCAGAGATGGAATGGTGAGAGCCAGAGCTGGAGCTGGGGCTGAGCAGCCGGGCCCTGACGCAGTTCTGTTGATCCCCTGACCCTATCTGAGCTACCTCTGGCCATCCACTGCCCTGGCACACCACGGTGACTTTGACCTCTGCTCAGGAAGAAGCAATATCACCCCCTGGCCCTGCCTGGCCAGGAGAAGGAAGGGGAGGCAAGAGGGGGGAGAAATGGGCTGTTACCTGCAGTCTGTGGGGGTGGGGGGTGCGGTCCATCCTCTGAGGCTGCCAGGGCTTCCAGAGCCTGCAGAGTGGACACCAGGGCATCATCTAGCTCCTGGGCATGATCTCGGACTGTCCGGGGCTGCACGCTGTCGATCAGTGTCACTGGAATCTCATCATACAGGAGCCCACGCAGGTGGCGTCCTTGTTCCTGGCTCTGGGCCGCCCGGCGCTTGGGGTCATCCTCATCGGAACTATTGTCTCGGAAACCAGGAGGGGGGGCGGCAATGGCAGGCAACAGGGAAGTGCTCTCATCTTCCTCCTCCTCTTCCTCTTCGCTCCCAGGCGGTGGCAGGGACATCAAGTCTACCATATTGTCACGAGAGGAGCCGGGCCTCCCACCTTTTCGAGGGCCCAGCTGCTCCTGGAGTTTGGCTTTGCAAGAGTCACAGTAGAAATTCAGGGCTTCGGCCCCAAGGGAATTGTCCAAGGTGTAGGACCGGGCCCTGCTGGCGCAAGGCTCATGGTCGAGGCTGGCTGCGTCAAAGTCATCGGGGATCACGTCGTAGCCTTGGCCAGAGCTTTTGGACGTGGGGTCAGACTTGGTCCGGGGCCTGGTCTCCTCAAAGAAGATTAAGTTCTCGTTGACGTCCGTCCGGCTTTCCTGTTCCTTCCTTTGTTCCCGCATGTGGAGGTAGCAAAAGCTGACAAGCTCAGAGTCGGCAGGCGGGGGCGTGCAGCGGCTCGACTTCCTGGGGCTGGTGCCCATGCTGCCCACATAACTACTCTCCTTTTTCCCCAGGTGGCCCCCAGGGACAGGGCGGTGGGCGCTGTGCATGTAATCTAAACCCAGAAAGAGAATCAACAGATGAGCCCTGGCGCCGAAGACCGTGGCTGAGCTCCCTTGGCGTTTCGGGTGCGCCACCGGATGGCAGGTACTGACAGAGAGCATTACCTGGCTGCTAGAGGTTAGGGGAAGGGGCAGCTATGTTGCTGCCAACCCTTAAAGTTGAGTGAGGAGAACAGCCCATGGGAAACCGCAGGGGGTGATGGGGGAGGGGCTGAGCACCTTGGCATCTGGGTACAGCTGGGCTCTCACCCGGGTATGTCTGGTCTGAAAGTCAGCCGTCCACATACTTCCAAAAAAAAAAAAAAATGTGAAAATTGTTTTTACGTCCCCCTTGGAACTGGCCCTGCACCCCCTCCCCTGTCCCCACCTTTCTCAGAGCCTTTCCAACCCCCAGTGCTGTGTTACTCTTGGGTTCTGTTGGATCTCTTCTAGTAAAAGGAAATAAATCTGACCAGTTACTCATGCCTTGGTGGGAAAATGCAGAACAGGCCACATACCATGGGTGCCTGAGAATTCGCATTTCAAAGAGGACTGTCATGGACCGACCCCAGAAGAATAAAGCGCCACTAGTAGTATTCTGGGCATCTGAATGTGTAAAGTATATGGGAAGTAGGCTGGGATGTGCGTATGTGGGAGGAGGGTGGGGGGAGCATTCTTCCAATTCCTCACATCTCCTTATTTCTCTGTGTTCGTGCAAGGCCAGCCTGCCTGCTACACAACGTTCTAGTCAACAGCTTTTTAATGATGGTAGGTGCGTACATCTGAGATTTAACCATAGCAAATGAAATGCTTTCTCTCTAAATGGCTTCTCTCTCGTAGACTGTTTTGGGGGCCCTTCCCCATGTCCTCTGGGAGAATATACTCAGACAAGACCAGTTCATTTTGCTAGCAGCAAAGCTAGCAGAGTGACAGACGGCAAGTAAGCACTGACGTAGGCTAAGGTCATCATACACGAGCCCATTTAATCCTCACCACAAGCCAATGAGGTTGGTGCAGTCACTATCCCCATTTTGCAGAGGGAGAAACTGATCCATTCGGTTATGTGACTTATCCAAGGTCACATGAGTCATAAATGGTGGCCTGGATTTGATCCCAGGTTTGAGGGACTACAAAGCCCATGTTTTTAATGAGTACCCTATCGTTCATCATGGCAGTCAAGATGCTAGAAAACAAAACTTCAAAATGCCTTTCGATTTCCAGTTTGATGGGGTCAGTGTGTCAGTGTTGCTTTTCACTAGAGCTTCCAACCGTCACAAAAGCATGGTGCTGGCACTTCACAGCGGAGCCCCAAAATACACAACGCAGAAACTGACTGAATCAAAAGGAGAAATACACACAATTCAACGGCACTAATTGGACACTTCAATAACCTACTTTCAATAATGGATGGAACAACTAAACAGAAGATAAACAAGGAGATAAAGGACCTGAACAACTATAAACTAAGTAGACACTAAGTAGTCACAAAAGTCTATTAGAACATGCCACCTACCAACAGCAGAATATACATTCTTCTCAAGGGCATCTGGAACGTTCTCTAAGATAGACCATATAGTAGGTCGTAAAATGAGCCTCAGTAAATTTAAAAGAAATGAAATCATACAAAATATGTGTTTTTTTGAGCACAATGGAATTAGAAATCAATAACAGAAAGAAATTTGGGGAACTCACAAGTATGTGGAAATTAAATCAAACATCTCTAAATAACCAATGGTTCAAAGAAGAAATCACAAGGGAAATTAGAAAATATTTTGAGATGAATGAAAATGAAGATACAACATACACAAATTTATGGGGTCTAGCTAAATTAGTGTTTAGAGACAAATTTATAGCTATAAACACATACATTAAAAAGGAAGAGATTTCACATCAATAACCTAACCTTCCACCTTAAGAGACTTGAAAAAGAGGACCAAACTAAACCCAAAGTAAGCAGAAGAGAAGAAATAGTAAAGTATAGAGACAGAAAAACAATAGAAAATCAACGAAACTAGAAGTTGCTTCTTTTTTTTTGAGAGAGAGAGAAAGAGCGTGCATGTGCCTGTGAGTGGGGGGAGGGGCAGAGGGAGAGGGAGATGGAGAGAGAAAATTGCATGCAGGCTCCATGCTCAGTGTGGAGCCTGATGCGGGGCTCGACCTCACGACCCTGAGATCACGACCTGAGCTCAAATCAAGAGTCGGACGCTCAACTGACTGAGCCACCCAGGCACCCCAAAAGTTGGTTCTTTGAAAAGATCAATAAAATTGACAAACATATAGCTGTAGAGACCAAGCAAAAAAAAAAAAAAAAGAGAAGATTCAAATTTCTAAAATCAGAAACGAAAGAAGGACCATCACTACTGACTCTACCGATAGGGACTTGATTATAAGGGATTATTATAAATAAGCTTATACTAAAAAACACTAGATAACCTTGATGAAATGGACAGATACCTAGAAATATATGATCAAAACTGACTCAAGAAGATAGAAAACCTGAATAGGTCGATAGCAAGAAAAGAAACTGAATTAGTAATTAACAGTACCCACCCCGCCCCCACTAAAAATAAAACTCAGGCCCAAATGGCTTCACTGGTGAATTGTGCTAAATGCTCAAAGCACTTAAACAAATCCTTCACAAACCCTTCCAAAAAACAGAAGAGGAGGGAACACTTCACAACTCATTCTATAAGTATTACCCTCGTTCCAAAACCAGACAAAACATCACAAGAAAACTACAGAGCAATATTTCTTATAAGTATAGATACAAAGTTCCTCAACAAAATACTAGCAATCTGAATCCAGGAAAGTATAAAAAGTATTATACACCAAATGGGATTTATTACATGAACACAAGGTTGGTTTAACATCCAAAAATCTATTAATGTAATACACCATGTTAATAGAATGGTGGACAAGAAAACCATATGATCATCTCAATAGACTCGGAAAAATAATTTGGCAAAAGCTACCACCCTTTCATGATAAAACTCAAAAAGTTAGAAATAAAAGGGAACTTTCTGAATATGATAAATATTATCTATGAAAAACCCATAGCAAACATACCTGATGGTGAAAGACTGAAAACTTTCCTCATGAAAAAGCCCAGGATTTCTTTTCTTAACACTTCTATTCAACACCATACTAGAAGATCTAACCAGGACAATTAGACAATAAAATGAAATCTAAGGCATCCAGATTAGAAAGGAAAAGTAAAACTATCTCTATGTGCAGATGACATGATCTTGTACAGAAAAAAATCCCAAGGAAACCACAAATAAATTATTCGAGCTAATAAGCTCAGCAAGGTTGCACAGTAAAGGACAATACAAAAATTAATTGCATTGTTATACAGTACCAATGAACAATCTGCTAATGAAATTAGGAAACATTCTATTTACAATAGCACCAAAAGGAATAAAATACTTAGGTATAAATTCAACAAAAGTAGTGCAAGACTTGTACAATGGAAGCTATAAGCATTTCTGAAAGAAATTAAAGAAGATTTAAATAAATGAAAAGACATTCTGTATTCATGGATTGGAAGATCCAGTCTTGTGTGTCTTCCATTCCAACATGGCAGTATTTCCCAAATTGATCTACAGATTCAACACAGTCCTTATCAGAATACCAACTGACTTTGTAATAATTGACAAGGTAATTCAAAAATCCATATGGAATCACAAAGGACACGGAATAACCGGAACAATCTTAAAAAAGAACAAAGTAGGAGGACCCACACTTTCTGATTGCAAAACTTAATACAAAGCAATGGTAATCAAAACGGTGTGGTACTGACTTAAGGATAGACGCATAGGTCAAAGGAATAGAATTGAGAGTCCAGAAAATAAACCCTCATGTTTATGCTCAAAGAGCCCAATTTAAAAATGGGCAAAGGATTTGAATAGACGGTTCATGAAAGACGATATACGAATGCCCAATAAGCACATGCAAAGATGTTCAACACCATCAGCCATGATGAGGCAAATCAAAACCATGAGATACCAGTTCACATCCACTACAATGGATGTTCAAAAAAAAAAAAAAAAAGAAAGAAAGATGGACAATAACAAGCATTGGTGACGTTACGGTGAAATTGAATCCTTCGACGACATTGCTGATGGTAATGTAAAATGGTGCAGTCGTCTTGGGAAACAGTTTGGCAGTTTCTCAAAGTTAAACACAGAGTTACCATTTGACCAGCAGTTCCGCTCTAGTTGTATACCAAAGAGAAATGAAAACTGCCTCCGCAAACACTTGTACATAAAGGTTTATAACATGATTATTCATAAGAGCCACAAGGTAGAAACAACGCAACTGTCCATCAACTGACGAATGGATGAACGGAAGGTGATCTGTCTGCGCAATGGAATATTATTTGGCCATAAAAAGAAATGAGGTAGTGATGTATGCTACAATGTGGAGGGCCCTTGAAAATGTTATGCTAAATGGAAAAAAAAAAAAAAAAAAGCAAGCCACAAAAAGACTGTATATTGTATGGTTCCATTTATCCAAAATGTCCAGGACAGACAAAGCTATGACCCAGAAAGCCAGTTCATGCATGGTTGCTTAGCGCTGGGTGGTCACTGGAAGGGAACTAGGGAATGAGTGCTAATGGGTACAGAGTTTGTTTTAGGAGGGGTTAAAATTAAATTGTGGCAATGATTGCACAGTCCTGTAAATATATTAAATATACTCAAAAATGCTGAGTAGTTGGGGCACCTGGGTGGCTCAGTCGATTAAACATCTGCCTTCGGCTCAGGTCATGATCCCTGGGTCCTGGGATTGAGCCCCACGTCAGGCTCCTTGCTTGGTGGATAGTCTGCTTCTCCCTCTCCCTCTGCTGCTCCCCCCTGCTTGTGTGCGCACTCGCTCTCTATCTCTCTCTCTGTCAAATAAAAAAATAAAATCTTTAAAAAAATGCTGAGTTGTGAACTTTAAATGGGTAAATTTTCTAGCTTTAAAATTATATCTCAATAAGGCTGTTTCTTTAAGGGGCACCTGGTTGGCTCAGTCGATTAGGCATCTGACTCTTGGTTTTGGCTCAGGTCATGATTTCGGGGTGGTGGGATGGAGCCCCGCGTCAGGCCCACGCTCAGCGCAGAGTCTGCTTGAGATTCTCTCTTTCCCTCCCCCCTCTGCACCTCCCCCCACTCGTGCTCCTCTCTCTAAATAAGTAAAGAAATAATCATTAAAAGAAAAGCTGTTTATTTAAGGAAAAAAGCACGGCACTGGGCACCAAGTGAACTCTCAATCATTATAGAAAGAAGCAAAAATGTGCTCTGCACTTGAAAGAACTTTATGGGGTTTATCTCACATAATCCTGTCAAATCTCTCCTGACCTAGGTACTATTATCGTCAGTTTACAAATGAAGCAACTGGGACTCCGTTTATGGAATTTGTTCATGATCACACAGCTAAGACATGGTCTCTACCTTCAGATTCCGAGCGCTTGCTGTTTTCCATAGACCCTGTTGCCCCTTTCAATATAGAGTCAACATAATTAGGTCGAATGGGTTCAATTCAGGCCTTAGTGGCTGTGTCTAGATCTAGGGTACTTTGGATCAGCTGGGGGAATACTACGTCACGACCCTCTGAGCCTCAGTGGAGAAGTGCTCTAGGGCAATGCTAAGCCAGGAGCGTGAACTCTCAGTTCTGGAGGTTTCTATCCTCAGGCACTGTCCACAGGTTGGGGTCACGCCCCAGGTGCTAACTACCTACGAGACAGCTAAACAGTCAGCCCAGCCAGCCTGGCAATGAGCTGCCATCAGAGTTGGCTCCCAGGGGCATGTCCAATAGGCAGGTGGTGATTCCTCTCAGACGAGGGCTGGAGGTCTAAGGATGGCTCCCCTCCCTGCAAGGTGGGAACATTTCCGAACAGCAGGCTGACAAGGCCAGGTGAGGCACGGCCCGCCACTTGGTACTGTGATTTCCAGATCTGAGGAGCAGTACAGTGCTGTGCAGAGGAGAAAATATGTCTGGAAAAGCCCAAATCTCCTCCAGACGTAAGGTTAGAAATGCATTAGAAATGCAAGGGGAGGGGCGCCTGGGTGGCTCAGTCATTAAGCGTCTGCCTTCGGCTCAGGTCATGATCCCGGGGTCCTGGGATCGAGCCCCGCATGGGGCTCCCTGCTCGGCGGGAAGCCTGCTTCTCCCTCTCTCATTCCCCCTGCTTGTGTTCCCTCTCTAGCTGTCTCTCTCTCTCTCTGTCAAATAAATAAAATAAAACCTTAAAAAAAAAAAAAGAAATGCAAGGGGAGCCAGGTGCGCTGGGCTGATGGCTGGAACAGTATGTCTCTCGGATTGCAAATCTGCTGTAAATTGCTCATCAGCTTTCCCCAAGGGGGATGTCCTAGTCTAGCTCTCTGTACTCAGCCACTCAGAAGACTGACTTTCAAAAAAATGCTTGCAAAGAACAGGATGGTGATCCCATTAGAGTTATGTTAAAAAATACATGCAGTGTGTGTATACACACACACACACACACACACACACAGTCAGTGCAACACTGAGTCAACCAGCCTTCTATTAGTTGGCTTTGCTGTATTCTATAGTCTGATGATCAAGACTGGTCAAAGGGACGACCTAGAGGCCTTTAGAGGCCCTCAAGTTCTTTCTGAATCATCAAAAAAGCACCTAGTATGTTCAGTCAAGCTTGAGTACTCTTGTGTGCCGCTGAGATTTAACTACATAAAAATGGGCGAGCCACGCATGGGATACACAGTAGCCATTAACCAGAATATTCAATTCACCAGACCAAGCTGTTTCCTAACCATGGGAGAAAATCAGTGAGTTCTTCTGACTGTGGCCCCCACTGGGGCCCCCAAAGCCTTCTTTTCTTGGATTTCCCCCACGATACTGGAGAGAGATGGCAGCTGAGCATGGAGTTGGGCTAGCTGGCAGTTGCTGTGGGACAAGAATATAGAGCCCGACAGAGAGATCAGGCCCTTAAGCGGGCTGGAGCTTTGGCCCTGAGGACAAAGCTCAGAGGAGGCTGGCAGGATGCCTGTTCCCTATAGATCTTTGCTAAACAACAACTGGGCACTGGGGCTTCTTTTCTGGGATGGAAGTTGGGGGGGAACCCATGGAGGAAATGTATCTCAGTTTTGTACCAGGAACTGATGGCCCCACACTGTGACCTGGGTGGAGGGCTCCCCAGTGTGCTTCTTGCAGTGCCCCTGTCCGTTTCTTGGGGCCATGGGGTCAGATGTGCACGCCAGCCCCCAATCGGCAGGGCTATAACGCTTACCACACCCCACCCACCAAGGGCACTTAGTGGTCGCCATCGAGCCAGCAGCTAACAGTTCAAAAGGCCAAGTACTGGGCCCGGGCATGGACCCACACCCCTGGGGAGGCGAAGCAGAACAAACAAGGGGAACACCACAGTGGTCCTTCTGGCTCCTGCACCAAAATGGGCCCTGGGCTAGAGGCAGCCGAGCCACTGTTACTCTGCAGGCCCCAAGGGGGACGTTCAAGAATCAGGGAGGGGCTCTGAAGCCATGCCCGGCATTTATAGAAGCCTTCTTTCCAGGCTGCAATACCTTCAAGAGAATCCCATGAAATTGATTTACCTCTGGAGAAGTACAGGGATGCAACCCCGGGTGTGTTCAGTGAGACCCAAGGGAAACAGGAAGCCTGTGCCCTCACTTGGTGCCATTATCCCCACAGAGAGATATATACTTAAGAGCACTGACCAGGGTGCTGATGGGATGACAGAACCCTCTGGAAGGTAGGTGGGACTACAGAGCCATCTCTGGGGCCTTCAGAAAGCAGACACCCCCCCCCCCCAACGAGCCCTCACTTCCACATCTGGTTCTCGGCTGGGCTCCAGGCTCCTTCTTCTGCCTTTCCTTCTCCCTTTCTCTCTCCCTATCCTGCTCAGTAAAAGGCATCATTGACTTGGCTGTGATGACAGAGAGGAACAGAAGGGACAATGACAAAGCTAACACGGGCTTGGCTGTCACTGGCCATCCGTAGGCTTAGTAACACCTATGGCCATCCGCTTTGGAGCTATTCACCTGGGGACGTGTGGCAACTCGGCCTCCTGGCTTCTTCCTATTTCTAGTCAGTTCCTTTGCTTCTCTATGTAGAGCCCCTGTCTATGCCTCGAGGCCACCTGTCCTTTGGGCCACCTGTCCTCTCCCCGGTCTATGTTTGGTAGATTGCCTTCTACGTCCTGTGGACAATGTTAGGAGATGTACGCATGGGCTTGTCATGATGTTTGTGATGAAGAGACAATGAGGTGACAGGGTGTGTGGGGTTACACGGCTCTCTGGGAGCTGGGGTAGCCTTTGGGAGTGTGCTTCGGCTCTCAAACTCCTCCATCTAGATCAGATGTGATCACACTGCAGCTTTGAAGAGAGAAGAAATGGCCGAGCTGCCAGGCAAGTGGAGGGCGAGGCTTTGGCAGGTGAGGAGGGCGACTGCGGGGTAGGAAGTCTCAGCTTCCACCATGACGTTTGGGTGCTGGGCTGGAGGGAGGCATTTCCTGCGTGTACGTGAGGCTTAGGTCTAGTATGTGAAGCCCCTGCTCTTCAGGTCTCCTGCTTTGGTTCGGGGCAACAGGATCTGGACTGGCCTGATCTTTCCTCAGGCCCCTGCTTGTGCCAGCACCAGGACAGCTCCGAGGGGTGGCTGCACAGAGTTGCCTAAGGGGGAAGCCTCAGGTTGGGGGCCGCACTTGACCTCGTTCTTGGTGGTCATCCTCTCCTATCTCTAAGCCTCCCACTGGACTATACTCTGCGCCTGCACAATCTTTCCTATATCAGGCTTCCACGGCCTCTTAACTTCAGGCAGCTCTGTCAATCCCCGTTACGATGAACAAGAGAAAGATTTTATCTTCACTTTCAACCTCCACCTTCCACAAAGCCAGAACGCCCATGCGTCTCTCCTAGATCACTGTGCTGTGCCTTAGATCTAATGCAGTTCTCCAACTGGTTCTACTTATTGCTTATTTGCTGTTCTTATCTTACATTCATTCACTGACTCGATCGCCATGTGTTGTCACAGGCATCCTTTGTGGGACAGGCCCATCTGAAGGCCAGCTGTCTTTCCCACCGGCTTGTGCCAGGTAGGACCCAGCGGTACCTCGCTGGCTCCTGGGAAACCGGGGTGCTGGGGGAATGGGGTAAGCACTAAGGCAGCAGAGCTCCTCCCTCCCTGGCTCCAGGGTCCAAAGGGCTTCCGGCATACTGAAAACTGAGGCTGAGCCCTACCTGCCTTGATCATTGGAGGTGGAAGAGGCTGGCTGGCAGGCCTGGAAAAGACCATCTTCCTGGAGTCCAGCAGGAGACGGCAGTACCCTGCGATCAGGCAGGCAAAGTTGGTGGCTTCGGGCCACTCCATCAACAGCACCAGAGGCTAGGGGAGAGACAAGAAGAACCATGAGAATGTGAGAAGGAGGGGAGGAGGTGCACGTCCAGGAAGACGACTGTGGGGCGCCTGGGTGGGTCAGTCGGTTAAGCGTCTGCCTTCGGCTCAGGTCATGATCCCGGGGTCCTGGGATCAAGCCCCACATCGGGCTCCCTGCTCAGTGGGGAGCCTGCTTCTCCCTCTGCCTCTGCCTGTCGCTCCCCCCTGCTTGTGCTCTCTTTGTCAAATAAATAAA